TCCGCAAGCCGGAGAGTTTACCGCAGTAAGACATAGCCGTGTAAGGAACGTTGTAAAGATCAGGAGCAATAAAGGATATTGTAATAAGTTCGAGCAAAGAACTTCTTCTTCACCACCCGACCTTCCTCGACATCCAACATATTGCTTATTATATTACTTATGTATCACATTATTTACATAATCTTATATATAGTTTATAAAAACATTGATTTAAAGAATAAGGTGTGTATCTGTGTATGTATATCGTAGTGTATGCATTAAAAAAATATAATTATTTACTATTCTTTCTTATTTCAAAAATCTGTATTCCACATAGTTTTATATGTATAAAAAATTCATGTTTTAAACATTTGGTGTAAAACATGTTTAACCCCTTCCCGTGCCATTTAGCTCGACGAAACTCGGGCCCAAGCGGTAGGCATTGACGCGCGCTAAACAGACCAGACTGATGCTTGTAAACAGTCGCAATACGGCTTGTTATGTTTACGTTTGGCCCAAGTATGTGTTCGCGACTCAGACTCGCGATATTTATGTTTGGCCCAAGTAACTGTTCGCGAGTCAGACTCGCGATGTTTATGTTTGGCCCAAGTAACTGTTCGCGAGTCAGACTCGCGATATTCATGTTTGGGCAAAAATCTTCATTGCGAGTCTGACTCGCTAAAGTACGGGAAGGGGTTAAGAAAAAATGTATGTTGAAAATGTTANTAGATTTAAACATGTTTTAAACATGTGTTTTAATCATAAGTGTTTAAAACATATCAACCCTGCCCCGGTCACAACCTAACCTTGTGACCTGGCACCCAGGGAACACCGAGACCTCTTTTCCAACGACGGAGACGTCAACTGAACCAGTCAAAAAAGAAACATGAAGCGGACTATCAGTGGTTTTATGAACTTTAAGTTTATAATAGACGTTATTTTTGTTTTTGTCTTGTACATACGCCATTAGAATGGCCCAACGATTTGTTTTGTGTGTTATTTATAGCTGCATAAGTAATTTTAATCAAAACCGTTATTATGTATACCCATATATATTCATACATTATATAATATTACTCACTTATCTATATATCAGTAGGAGTTAGTAATAGACGCAGCTAGCGAGTTGTAGAGCGGAGAGCCCTGAAAATAAAAAGAAACAATAGTCTTATATAAATTAATATATAAATTAATTTTAGTTTAGTTTTAAGTTGAAAAAGAAAAACCACACGTTTTGTTACACACACATTTTTAACAAACTTCACACACACCACTCAAGCCGGACACGCACAGTCATTCACATCCACACAACATTTATTCTTAATTCAGTCATCCAACATCCATACTCGTAAACCAGAAAGATAGTTTGAGCACCTGTTCACACGTCATACAATATACACTCATACAGGCAACGCATACACATAGTGACAACCATTAAAAAACACATTAGATTCACTCTACATACACGCACAAACACACCAGTTAAAGGTCCATACCTACCACACATCACTCATAGACATACAAAAATCCCAAACACACTATCATTCATACTTAAGAAACATGCTTAGGCCACAAGTATACAAAACTCACACACACACACACACACACACACGCCGTCGTGCTTAACTTACACGTTTAGGGCTCACTACATATGGACATATACATTTGGGTTAACGCAACATACACTACACTTATACTATAGGCACACAATATACACTCTCACAGCACGACCCTTATTACACAACTTTATGTTATACCTGGAAAGAACCAACATGCACACTAATACACCACTCATGCCCTATACACGCCACACACACACACACTACACGCACACTCAAGCATACTCCTTATTTGGTAACTTTAAAGCACACCAAGTATAAACACACACACATTCTTTAAGGCATCATTCACACCAACTCAACATATTAGTTGCACATATCCACATCACAACCACACACACAAACACGCTTAAGATACATTTACAATCAACACCACACACACACACAAACATTCATAATAAAAACTCAGTCATACACCAATCACACAGCACACATACAAGCAACACACACCTAAAGGTTCCCCTTAGTCTCAAGGCCCTGTGGAGATATCGGGTGACTACTTCTCGGTGCGTAGGAAGTCCCGCGGCAAAGGAAAAGGCGTGCGGCGCTCTAGAAGTGAGTCGCTTACAAGCTATATCGCATCGGACGCATCAACTGCGTATCGCAATGTGGCAAAAATCAAGTTCGTGCGTCTCAAAAATATTAATAGAATAATAATCGATGAAAAGGCCGATACGAGGCAAAAAATACTGGATGTCAGTGTATGTGAATGTTTCTTTATTAATGTCAGACGTTTCGACTCCTGGATTGAGTTTTCTTCAGTGACATTATTAATTCTATATAATATAATATAAAAAATACACAAATGAGTCAGAATTCAAAACTAAAACACAATCGCAATAAACAATAAACCACAAATAAGCAATACACAAAACCTCACTCAATTCATTTTTGAACTGAACATCAATACTTCGCTTTACGTGTCGAGATGGTTTTTTGTGAACACACAACAGTGTCAAAAAGATAAACAAAGTACTGATGCTCAGCTCTTACAGTACAGGTCTTATATGTCTAAAACCCCCCCTCTGACATTAAAATGGGTATGTGCGTACTAAACAACACACCTCGCAAACATGATCAAACATTTTGTTTTGTTTTGAAAGACTCTATAAAGGAGAAATAAGGTTTTAAATTTTCCGTATCTGCCATTATGTTGATAGCATTAGTCTGTAATCTAATATTTATCATCTCCGAAATCGATCTCCTATTCAAATGGTTTTCATGGTCCAAAATTTGCACATTATCCCATTGAAAATCATGGTTGTTTTTGAGTCTGTGTTCCGTGATCACAGATTGATTTTCCGATTTTTGATTGATCTGGTTTCTGTGTTCTTTTATTCTTGTTTTTAATTTTCTCTTCGTTTGGTCTACGTATGTCGCGTTACAAGAATTGCATTGAATGCAATATACGATATTTTTATTAGAATCGTGTTCAATAGGGTCTTTAATCGCTTTAATGAACATGTTTAATTTATTGATACTTCTATATGCTAACGTGAAGTTCTTTCTATTTTTTATGGTCTTTGACAATGAGTAAGCCAACCCATTGATGAAAGGCAACACAAAAAATGCTTTCTTTTTCTCTTCATGATTTTTTATAGTGTCCGATACTTGTATTGATGTGTTTTTAAGTTGGTTGTTAATGATGAATTTTAGTCTATTGTTAATAATATTGAAAATGAATTGTAGAGGGTAATTATTATCAATTAAAATGTCTATAATGAATTTAAGGTTTTTTTCATGAAATTGAGGATGAGATAAATGAAAAACTTTGTCTACTAAACTTATAATTGTCCCCACTTTTTGTGATGTTGGGTGTGCGGAGTAAAAGTTAAGATATCTACCCGAATATGTGTTTTTATGGTACCAGTCGAAAACTATTTCGTTGCTCTCATCAATAATCAGCTTGACATCTAAGAAGCTCAATGATTTTTTAATTTCTGTTTNGCAAGTAAATTGTAATCTACTATTATAACTATTGAAATTATTAAGTAAATTATTTAATTCATAAGAAGGAGCTGTTAAAATTAAATCATTTACATATCTATAGTAAAAGGATGGTTTAAAATTAAGTTTTTTCAAAATCGAAGATTCTAAATCCTGCATAACTAAGTCTGCGACTACCGGAGATAAAGGTGACCCCATGGGAACACCATAAGTTTGTTTATAAATCAGGCCATCAAACGAAAAAAATGTAGAATTTAATACAAATTCTATAGCTTTAGAAAATCGTTAAGTGGGATTGTAGTATTGTTTCTAATGTACTTCCACCTAATCTTGATGCCTTTCAAAACCAGATCAATCGGTACATTTGTAAATAACGATGTGACATCAAGGGACAAAAGCATGTGACCTCTTTGGATTTTAGTTTTTTTGATTTTCTTTACAAAGTCTATACTATTGGCGATGCTGCTTTTTGCGTTCGGAATGTTTTTGTAAATAATATTGTGTAAAAATTCCGCAAATTTGTGAAGTGAGCTACCCACGGAAGACACAATCAGTCGGTATGGAGCCTCAGGTTTGTGTATTTTTGGCACACTATAGGCTCTAAGAACGCAACCCTCATTAGAACGCATGGATTTGTAAGCCACATCACTAATGTATTTTTTGGCTAACCATTTTTTTAGGAGGGTGTTAAGAGTATCCTCTATGTTCTTTGTAGAATTTTTATTAATTTTAACGTAAGTAGTTTGATCGTTAAGCATGGCGTTTATTCTCTCTATGTAACTGTTTTTATCTACAGCGACAGTCACATTGCCCTTGTCCGCTCGGGTAAACAAGATATCCGGATTATTCTTTCGGAACATTTTAACCTGTTTAAATCTTTGTAATATACGCTTGTCAATATTACTTATTTTTGGAGTAGTTGTCAAAAAACTGTCTAATTTGGGAATAACGCAGTTGCGAATAGAATCTGCTGTTTTATTGTCTACAAATTTTACACTGTTTTCTGTGTCTTTAATTAACTCTAACAAGTCATTTTTATTCAGTTTCGGAACGCTAAAATTTTCTCCTAACTGTAATAAGGAAACTATATTCTCCGGAATGTGGTGTGGAGTCAAATTGACAAACCATTTGTCTTTGATAATAAAAAATGAATTGTCATTATCCTTAAAAAATTCGGAAGGATCAATAAAAATATTAATATTAATATTAAGAACTTAAAAATATTAATATTAAGAATTTCACGTTAGCATATAGAAGTATCAATAAATTAAACATGTTCATTAAAGCGATTAAAGACCCTATTGAACACGATTCTAATAAAAATATCGTATATTGCATTCAATGCAATTCTTGTAACGTGACATACGTAGGCCAAACAAAGAGAAAATTAAAAACAAGAATAAGAGAACACAGAAACCAGATCAATCGAAAATCGGAAAATCAATCTGTGATCACGGAACACAGACTCAAAAACAACCATAATTTTCAATGGGATAATGTGCAAATTTTGGACCATGAAAACTATTTGAATAGGAGATTGAGTTCGGAGATGATAAATATTAGATTACAGACTAATGCTATCAACATAATGGCAGATACGGAAAATTTAAAACCTTATTTCTCCTTTATAGAGTCTTTCAAAACAAAACAAAATGTTTGATCATGTTTGCGAGGTGTGTTGTTTAGTACGCACATACCCATTTTAATGTCAGAGGGAGGGTTTTAGACATATAAGATCTGTACTGTAAGGGCTGAGCATCAGTACTTTGTTTATCTTTTTGACACTGTTGTGTGTTCACAAAAAAACCATCTCGACACGTAAAGCGAAGTATTGATGTTCAGTTCAAAAATGAATTGAGTGAGGTTTTGTGTATTGCTTATTTATGGTTCATTGTTTATTGCGATTGTGTTTTAGTTTTAAATTCTGACTCATTTGTGTATTTTTTTATATTATAGTATATAGAATAATTAATGTCATTGAAGAAGACTCAATCCAGGAGTCGAAACGTCTGACATTAATAAAGAAACATTCACATACACTGACGTCCAGTATTTTTTGCCTCGTATCGGCCTTTTCATCGATTATTATTCTATTTAACAATTTCACAAGGTCCATAACATTACTATTTAAAAATATTCATATACACGCTGTGCGCGTAGTGCCCGTAAGCCAAAAGACAATATATTGTACTCTGACATTTATTTTGTTAAAATGTACATACAAATGTTAAAAAAAACTTGGTGGCAAAGTGTTGTGTTCATCCCCTGAATTCTCTCCTTCCAGCGAAAACATCCGGACATCTGGAACAAAGAGACACATACCTCGGTACTTGGATGTGTAAGATAAGTACTTGGCGACCGTGAGAAATAACAGGAAACGTGAGTACCCGTACCAAATACTACTAACCCTGGTCATAGTGGAAATGCGCGTCTATGTCGGCCATCTTGAATGTGTCTCGCGTATTCCAGGAAATCGAATAACACAACGCCGCTATATATTATATAAATATATATCCACTTTTTGGAGAGGCTGTTTGATACAAAAACACGTGTCATCTCTCAGATCTGGTTAATTTTGCGAATGGCGACCGTGGCAGTGTCACCAACGGTAAAAGGGCAGCAGGAGCGCAATATACTACAAAGAGCGAAAAATGAAAGAAGTGTAGTGCTGCGCGCACAAGCAGCATGGAAGGCCGAAAGTCGTACTAAATTATATGTCAACTGGGCCAGACATTCTTTGGCGAACCATTGAGCAACGACTCAATAAACTTTTTAACTTTTAACTGTTTCCTTTTATTGTATGTTTAGCGGACAAAATTTTGTGATTACTTGTTACAGTTAGTGAAATTATTTAAAGTACTGTTCTGTTTTACTTTAGACCGCCCAGCTGTATGTTTCTAGATAAGAATCTGCGAATGCGCCAGACGTATTAGGCGTACTTAATCATTTGTTACCTATCTAAGGTCAGCGGACCATGGAACAGCATCAAGCTTGTTAAGGCTTTTACGCGAAACACCAGACATTGCCCCCTCCGATTTGGCTGAATTTTATAAATATTGTAGGTTGACTCTCCCACTACACCGTCGTAAAATAATAGAACGCACATCTCAAACATTTACAAGAAAAGCGCATTGAAAGATTTTCGTGCGCTTAATTAACTGTTAAGTTTGAACAGTTTGGCAGCTAAGCAGCGTGGCTTAGTGAGTAAGGCGTCCGACTATCACTTTGCATATTGCTGGTTCAAATCTCATTTTCAAATCTCATTCAAATCTCATTCAATCTTTATTTTTTTGATATTTTCTTCTTACATTTGTATTGTAGCGTATTATGGGAGCGTGTTGTTATATGTATTGTTTAATATTTTATTTAATAAATTACTGTTTTTATTATAAAATTAATAATCATTAAAAATTACGACATGTATTTATTTACATTGCTTACATGTTGTGGAATTTAACTTTAGACTAGAACTTAATGTGTTATGCAATAAAAGAAAGTTGATGTTGTGTTATGTAATAAAAAGTTTATAAAGTATAAATAAACAAACAAACAAATTTAAATGCAATATAAAAACATGTAACTTTTTTATTATATTTTAAATGAAAATTACTCGTCTTCAGATTCAGTTTTGGACGAATTACATATCTTGGGATAATAATTATAATAATAACACGTAAAACATAATATTTTAATCTGCAATGAGAACATTGAATAAAACCTCCATTTTTACAAAAGCACAGTTTCTTAACGGCAGTTGAGAAACAAATTTCATTTATATTAAGAAATATGGGTCTTTTTTCTATTAATTTTGACGCATACCAAGCATAGAAAAGCATTGGTTTAAAAATTGGAGCGCTTACTTGATGCATTAGCAAAGAGTGTATTTTTATTGCATCCTCGCGAGTACAAATGTCTTTTTGTTGCATTATCGTATAACAATTGCAATCGTTTGATAAAATTTTTTATTTGTCGATAAAAATAAACGTGACAAGGCTGACAAAGAGGCGTGCATTTTGAAGGAATTACTTTTGGAAAGCACGATGCTCTACCTGTTTTGTCTTCAAAAACATCGTTGTATAATGTCATATCGGTGTGACCTTTCCACGAATCTATTAATACCAAAATTTTATTATTTTCAACGTAAGGAGACAAACAATATTTTAAATAATCAGTATATATTGCCTTCGATAATTTGCCCGACCTTGAAGACGTTACATAAACGTTTTTATATTCGTGCATTAATTAATCAATTTTTTTCTGCACTTTAGGACCAAATTGTCCCTTTGATTCTTAAATGCAAAAAAATACAATAGGTAATATTTTTCCTGAAGCTGTGATGAAATATTGTGTTGTATAAGACTAAGAGATAGCATGCAGACTTTTTTACAAAAACAGTTTTTGATCCTTGTGCTGCAAGCGTTCTATTATAAGTCATTTGATATCGACATCTTGTCTAATCCGAATATGAATGAATGAATATTAATGACAAAATCTAAATCAAACTCGAGTATAATTGCTTTTGTTTGCATTTGCAAACGTTGTGCGGATTCTAAAATTTTCTCCAGAAATGCATGTTCTCTTTTACTAACATATTTTGTTATTTTTCTTTGTCTNATTTTATATATTTTTTTAAATTGATCGATCCAACTTATGCTGGCAGAAAAGCTGAAGTTTTCATTCATAAATGGAAACGCTATCGCCATTGCCCATTGTTGCAGAGTTCTTGTTGTTATTTGAAAACGATAGTGTATATAATTTATAGTTTTGAAATTTTTCTACTTCTATAATAAAAATTTTGTGTAAAATTATACCTGCTCAAGACATTCTCTTGCTTCTGTAAAGTGTTCAAATGTTTGTGTTTCAATATATTTTCATTCATCGACAAATGTTCCTCGTCGTTTAACGTCGTATTTCCATGTACGCAGCATTTTTTGGTTTTTTAATTTAGAGCATCAGTAGTTAAACTAGGGGAGTTCTGGACCAGGAGTGCCCAGGAGTGTTGTGAGAGAGGGGGCACCGCGCGAGAGGGGGGTCGTACGGACTTGTTCAAACGTGTTCAAGGTCGTACGGATCTGTTCAAGGTCGTTTGAGCGTGTTCAAACGTGTTCAAGATTGTTCGAATGATGACGACATCGCTAAAATATTATTATCTCTCAATTAGATATTTAAATTGCGCAGCAAAATAATAAATAATTCAGAAAAAAACCGCAATTTCCCGGAAATGCGTTTTTTCTTATCGCCTGAAGCGATAAGTCACTTCCGGTTTAATGAGTCATTCCCTGCGATAACATTTGCACAAAAAACCGTTACCATATGTGGGTTTTTTGCGCACTTCTGGTGTGCGTAAAAGACCGTTACATAACGTATGTGGTTTTTTTAACTTGCAATTTCAAATCTAAAGATCTCGAGGAAAGATAAGGAGCAAAATAAAAAGGCGCCTCGAGTTCGGGAGCGAGTCACAAGTCATTTTAATCGCGAGCAATCGAGATCGCAAGTCGTGTAGATCACAAGCCATATAGATAATAAGTCGTAGTCACATCGTCGTTTTTGAAATGTTTAACGGAGTGGACACGACGTGCATTTTACACTTGTCAGTCGAAGAGTTAAAAAGAAACATTCCAAAAAGAATTCTTCTAGAAGTGTTTGATAATTGTGTGAAGCTTTTGTGGGATCAATTGCATGAGCATGTGAAGAAAGAGCACGAGGTGCAGCTGTATCGTAGATGTCTCGAGCATTACAATCAACCGGGAGACTACGATCACATTGATGCGCCAGTCCCGCTGAAAAGATATTGTCGCGTGTGTCTTGCGAAAGCCAAGATGGAAAATCAACAATGAATCAGACAACCGAAATCGCTTCA